AGTCCCCAATAAAATGATCTTTAAAAAAAACTAAACATATATATTTACATCTTACCCTTGTGTTTATGCACACACACAGATTTCATATAATCTTTCTATATTTATGAATGTGAGCGTGTACATAAAAAACCAACACAGAACTCTGGTGGCATAGTAGTTACACATTGGGCTGCTAACCTCAAGGCCCATAGTTCAAAATCACCAGCCACTCTGTGGGAGAAAGACTTTCTACTCCTGTAAAGATTTACAGCCTCAGAAACTCACAGAGGCAGTTCTACCCTGTCCCATAGAATCCCTATGAGTCAATGGCCATGAGTTTGGGCTGAGTTTGTTTGTTTTTTCCAGGGATGGGGGGATGTATATACAGTATGTATAATTTTCATACTAATATGTGCACGTGTTTGTGTGTATACTCATATATGCACTTTCATACGTATGTATGAAATAAGGTGTCACTGAAATAAGGGTCAACAGGCATAAATCTCTATATCTGTATCTTTCCACATAGAATACACTGAATTTTTTTTTGAAATAACTGGAGCCTTCTACATTTGTTTGCCAAGACTCTCTCCCCGCCCCCAAGTATTTTGGTAAACATACTATATTAACTTTTTTTTTTACAACAAGTAAAGAAAATAAGTTAACAGTAGCTTACCTTCCGCAAAGTGAGAGTGACTGGCAAACAAAAATACAATCTCTCTTTTGGTAAGATACCATTATCTACATATGTATGAAAAAGTCTATAGTACATATATTCGTACATACGTGTATCTTTCCATATGTATATGAATTATCAAATAGAATTGCTGCGTCAAAGGGTACATATATCACACAGTTTGGGTAAGATGGTATAAAGTTGTCTCCCAAAACCAATTACAACAAGTAAAACAGAATAGAAGTGTGAGTGTTTCCTGACAACTTTGCCCAGGTTTTCCATTTTTGCAACACTTAGAGGTAGGCACATATCATTGCTACTGTTACATCTCTATACTAATGAGTGAGGTTGAGCATCTGTTCTTTCAAATTTTGATCCTTTGTCCATTTGGATGTTCTCTACTACAAACTACCTGTTATATTCCTAGCATCCTTTATCTTCCTATTAAGTTACCTAGTTGCTTAAATAGCCTACAAATTAATATATTGTCATATATGTGTAAATACTTATTTCTTTTCATCTTGTTTGTTGTATGTTTGTTTCATGCCTTTGGTGTGTGGAACATGCTATGTAGAGAATGTTTCTCAGGGGATTTTGATAAGAGTTTTTTGAGGGATACAGTTAGTATCCTGGGATACGACATGATGCCAATTGGGATGGGAATACAAGACAAAGGAGATTCAATTAGATGCTCTCTCTATCTCTCCTGGAAGGTGAATGTGTTAATCTAAATCAGAAAATAATGTTCCACCATTCAAACTTTGAGAGAATTGACCGCTTTTTATAAAGGTCAATCAAGGGAAGAGAAAGAGAAGCTCCAACAGTCCATGATGATCTCTGCACAGCTATCACACTCCCTGGTGACACTTGGTGATTACAGCAAAAAGAGTACAGGACTTGTCCAAAGACTGTGATGCTTCCTGTCCACTTGCTGTCCAGGAAGTAACCAAGATTCAGGTCCTTATGGGTCTCATTTGGTTGGAGTGGTTCAAACTGTTAGTGAGCTCAGCTGATAACTGAAAGATTAGAATTTCAAGGCCACCCAGAGACACCTGTGGGAGAGGAAGAGGAGATTGGCTGATCTAATTCCAAAACAGTCATTAAAAACGGTGTGAAAAAAAAAACAAAAACCCTGGCACACAGATCTGCTCTGAAACACAAGGGTCACCAGGAATTAAAATCACTGACTAATTGGTGGTAGTGGTGATAGTAGGATCAATTTTCTCACTGATAAAATAGAGGTGAGAAGCTCCGATTTAAAAGGGACAATGTGCACATAAAAATAAGTAGACTACATAAATAAATAGACTACAAGTGAAAATGTGTACAAATAGTACTACTTCGCACTTGGTGATTTTTTTGGAACTATGTATAGCTAAAAGTCATTTTCTTTTATTCAAATTTTAGCTGTTTTATTAGAAATTCATTTTCCTAATTTCATTTTGCATCACTAAGAGGGGTCCCAATGGGTTGCTGAGTCAGAATCCACTTAATAGCAGTGAATGGGTATTAAAGTTAGGTAGACTTCCCCTGCAAACCACAACTGATGAGACAAGTACTGGGTAGTTAGGGCAAACCAAAGTCGAATTTGAAAGTTTAAAATTTTAAGATCGACATCCATAAAACAGAAACACTTACAGTCTGCTCATGCTCTTGTTGCCAAGGTCTCACCTCTGAAGTGGCAAGATACCTTGGTCCCAGAACTCCAGTCTGTGTGGAGAGGAAATGGTATCGGTTAAGCTACACATTTCAACCACTATAGAAAGATCCCTGAATTTAAACGTGGCAGGAATATTGAGGGTCAGCAAACCCCAGAGTCATTCAATATTCAAGCGATAATTTCAAGCTGCTTTGAATAGAGCAGGGGCCTCCTGCCCCATAAAACAGGGTTTATGGTCGCAGCTAACAGGATCCCTCATTCCACCCTGGATCTAAGCAGCTCTTCGCTCAAGTGAGGGTCTGCCATCAGGCAGCATTCACCCTCTTGCTCTTATTCAAAGTATGCTTTTCAGGGAACTCTTGCTCCCCAAAAAGGCCCCTACTGTGGTCCCTGAAACCGAATGTCCTCATTATAATTATGTTTTTCCTAGTCCATCTGTCCTATGTGGTTGGGGAATGGCCATGGGTTTAGGGTTTAGAACAAGATGGGCAGAATCCTGCTCTCACATCCTACATTAGCAGACTGTCAGCCAACATGCAAACAAATGCATAGACAAGATAATTTCTGTACTGCTAAATACAATACGAGAAATAAACACAACAAGCTAACTGGAGGAACCCGGAAAGCGGAGTTTCTCTGAACCTGGATCTTCTGGAGGTAAAGGAGCCAACAATGTGGAGCGTGGGAAAACCGTTTTGTCCACCCTTAAGAGATGACAAATGACCACAGGAGTGGGGGTGTCCCCAGGCTGGTGGAGTTTGGGCATCCCTCCCGAGGAGTAAGGAACGCATTTGCATCAGACAAATGCATGTGAGTACCTGACTGGCACCCACGGCTCAGCTAGCGCTGGGCTGTGCATGGAAAGGGTGGAAAGGTCTGTGGTTCAACTTCTGCCAGAAAGGCACCTTGGCAAACAAGGCTGCGATCTGTTTCTGAAAGGTCCCTGAGTCAGAACAGATTCAAGGGCAGTGACCCTCAAGTAGTCTATCACTAAGATCATTGTCTTCGCTCCCACGTTTGGACGTGGGCCGCGACAGTCACGTGGGGAAAGAAAGCCGTCAGACCCTTGCTGGTCCTTGGAGACACTGCGAGGTCTTAGCTTGGTGTCTAGGTCAGTGCAGGCCTCAGTTTCCTTCTCCGTACAGCGAGAGGCATGGCAACTGATCTCCCAGGCCTGCAGTCGCAGGCCTGCAGCTAGGCCACCAGGCCTGGCTGGGCACATGCCACTGCCAGGCGGGCCCCATTTCCAGACTCCCCAGACTGGGCCTAGCTCGGCATCTTCTGGCACGCCCGCACCCGGCCTGGCTGAGGCCGGCGTGGCTTTCACCAGGGTCGCACGCGCGGCAGGCTCGGGAGTGGAGCCTCAGGCCCGTGCCCCCCGCCCGAAAACGGCGCCCTGGGCTCGACTTCCCGTTTTCAGAGAGCCGCGAGCCCGCGTCAGCGCCCCGAGGCCCGGGCCCGGAGAGGCTGCGTGCTGCCAACGGCCGCCCGGGTGTCAGGCCGCCGGCGACTCCTCCCCTCCCCCTCCGGGAGGCTCCGGCTTCACCCCCGCCTTCCCGGGGCGCTGGACCGTGGAGGGAGCCGGGTTGGGGGGTGCAGAGCGTGTCAGCGCGAGGAGCAGCCGGGGCACCGGGGACGCCGAAAGGGCCCCGCCGGGGACCGCGAGCCGCTGCGGAGGCCGAGCGGCGGCGACGGGCGGCAGCTGGAGGAGGACAAGCGGAGCAGGGGACCGGCCATCGTCACCGGCCCAGACCCGAGGGAGGGAAGCGCGCGGGAAGGAAAGAGGAAGAAGGGCCAGATGCTGCGCCCGGTCTTCAAGGTTAAAAGCGAAAATAAAAATCGCCTCGGTGCAGGGCTCGCCTCTGGCCTCGGCCCGGCCCTCTGGGCGACAGCGGGAGCTGGGGGGCGGGGAGGCACCCCTCCC